TTATAACTCCCAGTAATATGATCATATCTATGACCGATAAGATTAATAATAATGAAAAGATTAAGTGTAAAGAGACTAAAAAGTTGGTTAAAATGGAAAAAAAAACGTATTTTTAAAAGAAACAATGATAATAAACCCTATAAAAAGAATTTTAATTTTAAAACTTTAATAAATTCACTTATTCACAATAAAAATAAAAATAAAAATAAAGATATAAATAATAATCATAATCATAATCATAATAATAATAGTAATAATAATAATAATAATAATAATAATAATAATAATAATAATAATAATAATAATAATAATAATATAAATAGTAATACTAGTGATATTATCTCAAATAACGATAGTAACAATAGTATAGTAGATATAAATAGTAATAGTTTTATAGAAATTGAAACGGATAATAGCTATAATAGTAATAGTTATAGAGTATCTTTAAATTCAGATTATAATTTTATAGAAGATAATAATTTAAATAATAATAATAATAATAATATTAATTTAAATAATAATATTAATAATAATAATAGTAATACAAATATAGATAATAATAATAACACAAATATAAATAATAAAGAAATGTCATTATTACCAATTACAACAATACCTCCATTAACATTTTCAACAATTAATAATGATAATTTAAATAAATCAATATCATCATCTTCATCATTTAAATTTTCAATACCTAAATTAAATTTTCAAGTTGTTGATCAAGATGAAAGTTTACCAATACCACCACCAACAACACCACACCAAATAAGTTTAAATAGTAGTAATAATAGTTTAAGTAGTAACAATAGTGGTAGTATAGGTAGTACCAATAGTAATAATCTTAATCTAAATAGTAACAATAATCATAATCATAATCCTAATAATCACACTCATTATTCACACCATCACCATCATTCATACAATCCTCATAATACGCCATCAATTAGTAATAGTAGTAGCAATACCAATATTAAAGAAACATCATCATCATCCTCATTAAATATTTTGACACCAAGAAGTTTACAATATTATTTAAGTTTAAAAATATTTTCTTCAACACCAAGATCCAATAGTCCAAAGAATTCGCCAAGAGGTAATTGCTCGCCTATTCAAACACTGTCAAATAGAATTTTAGAGGATATATTTTATATGGTTTTTGACTCTATAATACCATCTTTTGTATATACAGATTTATGTTTAGTATCAAAACATTTTCAAAAGGTTATAGAGTCAATGAAGAGATTTATACTGATATTGGGTATTAGCGAAGCACAATCAAAATTCTGTATACAGTGGTACCGTAAGCACTATAAACAAATCAATAAAATCAAATTTGTAAATAACTTTTTCCAAAATGAAATACTATCATCACAGTTCCTTCAAGTGTTCCAGGGTATAGATGATGATCCATCTATTGACCTCTCTGATAATTTTGTCACCAAGCCGCTATTGGAGTGCCTCTCAAAGAAACTAAGCAAGAATGAATATATGCGACAATTAAATTTATCAAAAACAAAATATTTAACATTATCATCACCTGACGAGTTAAAGTCCTCTTTAGAACATGGCACAAATGGTATCAAAAATATATATATGAATCAATTTTTAATATCATTATCGCTCAACACCTCTATAGAGTCTTTGGATCTCTCTTCATCAGATTTTATCAGCTCAATGGAGATGATGGGAATGGATCCTATAAGTTTCTGGAATTTGGAAGATTTAAATCAACATTCAATCGTTTATTTAAATTTGGGCGGTCTCTCAATTAGGGAGGACATGGCTAAGCATTTGGCATTCATGTTAAAAACAAATAATACAATTACAACATTCATCTACAACAATAATAATCAAGGTCTTCATCATATATTTAAAAGTATTGCCAATGATAATAAAACGTTAACAAGTTTAAATTTTAGTGATTGCTTAGCATTCGAAACCAGCCAAAATATTGAATCAATTTCTCAAATGATCAAATTTAATAATAGGATCAAATATTTAGATGTTAGTAAAAATTCTTTCAATATAATACCCACAAGTTCAATAGTTTTTTTCGAAGCACTCTCTTTTAATACAAGTTTAAAAGTTTTAAATTTATCAAGTACATCACCAACAAATGCCGATAATATTTTATTCCCATATTTATTTAAATATTATCAAAAATTAAATAATAAGTTTTTAAAACAACAACCACAAGATATAATAATAACTAACAGCAATAATAATAATAATAATATAACATTTAATTATAATTTAAAATCAATTATAGTGTCAAATAATTATCCATTCCCAGACCCAACCTCTTATTCAAAATGCGACTTTTTATCATTTGGTAGTATTGGATCCTATATAACAGAATTGGATATTTCAAATTTACGTTTAGGGGATCAAAAGTTTTGTCCAATAATAGATTCACTTATAAAATACCAAAAAAATAATATTGTAAAACTAAATATTTCAATCAATAGACTTTATCATCGTTCTGCCGAAAAAATTGCACACTTCCTATCGAATAATAATACCATTGTAGATATAAATGTAGGTTTTAATTTCCTTAGAGAAGGTGTTATCAAAATCTGTGACTCTCTTCATTCAAATACAAGTCTTCAAACATTGAATCTTTATGCTACCCAAATCAAAACCAAAGAGGCCAAAAGTGTTGCTAAACTTCTCTCCTTCAACAAGAGTATCACCGAATTGGATGTAGGCCTAAATATAGAAATATCACCCATCTTAAATAGTTTAGAGAACAATCAAAATATTAAATCACTTCATATATGTTACACTTCTTTAAAATCTTCTTTTGTTAGATTGATTCAAAGAAACCACACTCTCACCCATTTAGACGTCTCAAATTCTTCTTTTCCAAATTGGAGAATTAATCAAATTGTAAACTCTATTATAAAAAACAAATCAATTTTAAAATTAAATTTTTCAATTATAAATGATAATATTGGTCAACAACAACAACCTCAACAACAAAATGAACAACCAAATAATCATCAAGGAGTTGCTCACCATGTTCATCACCATAATAATAATAATAATAATAACAACAACAACAACAATAATAATAATAATAATAATAACCATAACAATAGAAATAGTATAATATTTTCAAAATCCTCAAAAATTAAAATGAGAGTTTATCCAGCCAAACTTTATTATTTTAAATAATTTAAATAATAAAGATATATAATATAAATAATAAATAGTTTTTTTTATATATATATATTTATTATTTTTAAATAAAACATAAATAAATTGTTTTTTTTTTTTTTTTAAATTGAATATAAAAAAAACAAATATAAAATTTTTTTAGATCAAAACAAAATTACCTTTTTTTTCTTTTTTCTTTTTTTCTTTTTTTTTTTTTTTTTATAAAAATAATAATAATAAATAAATTACAAAATTTTTTTTTTCGTTTATTTAACACATTCATTTAAAATTATTTAAATAATAAAATGGTGGATTGTGTGGATCTGTGTTGAAAAAACGATCTGATTTTGGCACTACACCTAAATTTTTTTAAAAAAATCACAAAAAAAAAAAAAAAAAATTTAAAAATTAAAAAAAAACAATAAAAAAAAAATAATTGTTTTATCAAAATTAAAAAAAAAATAATTGTTATTTTTTTATTATTTTTTATACATATATTATTAATTATTAAGTGTTTGAATATTTATTCCTTTTTTTTCTAATATATAAAAATAGTAACAACACGTGTGGGTGTGTCTGTTTTTCTTTTTGTATTTTTTTATTATTTTTTATGTGTGATAAAACAAAAAAATTATAAAAATATTTCTTGTTTATTTTCTCTATTTATAAATATTTCTTTTTTACTTTATTTTTTATTATTTTTTTTCTTTAATTTGTTTTTATTAATAAATATAAATATTTATACTAATATAATACTATAATACTAAATAGTAATAAAAAAAATAAGATATATATAAAAATAAAATGGGTCAGGGCACATCAAAATCAGAAATTAAAAAACTAATGGAAAAAACTACCTATTCCAAAGATCAAATAAACCAAATTTATACAGATTATTCTTGCTATATACACAATGATAAAGGTTTAACATTTGACGAGTTTAAACAATTCTTTTCAATTCGTTTTAAAGAGTATGATGAGGAGTCATTACTTACAATGTTTAATTTATTTGATTCAGATAAAGTAGGTAAAAAAGAAAAGAAAGAAGCTTCATTTAAACCAATATTCATTTAGTTATTAATTTATTATTATTATGTTTAGAATGGTAACATTAATTTTAAAGAGTTTGCATGTGCAATTTTCATAATTACAAGATCACCAGTCGAAGAAAAGCTATCATTTTTATTTGATATGTTTGATAGATGCCCCAAAAATGGGGTATTGGATAATAGCGAAATTATAAGTATAATACAATTGGCAATTAAAGTAAGTATAGAGATAGTTTATTAAATAATAAATGGGTATTAAATTAATAAATAAATTTATCTATTTTAAAGACAGGTTCTTCATTAGGTTTTGGTATGAAAGAATCAGGATTGTTTGTAGAAAATCTTTTAAAAAGTATGGAAAGAGAATCTAATGGAGGGATATCAAAGCAAGAATTCATTTCAAAGGCCTCAAGTGATGATAAATTCGTTAGAATGTTATGTTTATATGACCCATTTGGCGATTTATTATATTAATAGCTATAATAATAACTAAATAACTTATAACAGTAATAGATATAATAATAAAATATAATTTGTAAATAATATTTTTTTTTTTTATAAATTTATAAAGAAATAATTTATTTCTACAATGGTATAGTTTTATGGTTTTATTTATGCATAAACCCGATTGTGCGGATATAAAGACTGAATAATATTCTACAGTTATTACCCAAAGGCTTTGTCTCTTTTTAACACATAGATAGACTTTTGAGGTGGAGTAGCAATACCTCTAAATTTGATATTAATGGACCAGTTAACTAGGTATCTACTTTAGACGATTCTTTTTTAAAGCTGGAATTAGGTATTCTTGATTTAAACTTTCATTGAATGTAACACAGTTTTTTTTACATAGGCCACCGTTAACCCTATTAATCGGTTTTAATGCAGGTTTTAAAACATATGGTGATGGGGAGGTAGATTCTTTTTCTTCTTTAAGTTGTATTTGTTGTGGTTCTTCTTCTTGTTGTCGCTGTTGTTGTTTTTTTTCTTTCTGTTTTCCTTTTTGGTGATTTTTTGAATGTTTATAATTTTTATTCATTTGGATTTCTGTGGTGGTAATCATTATTTTTTTGATCGTGGTTGAATTCTTGTGATATAAAAAAAACATTATAGCTATACAAAAACATAATATTAAATTAATTATAGGGTGAATATCTATTATAGATTCCATTTTAATTGGTTTTTGCAAAGTTACAAATAAAAAAAAATAAAAAAAAAAAATAAAAAAAATAAAAAAAATTTATTTTATTTTAAAATTTGTTTTAAAATTTTTAAATTAATATTTGGGGAAAAAAAAAAAAAAAAAAAAAAATTATTTCCTTATTTTTAAAGATAAGAAGTTCTTATCTTGCAAGGAGATTAGAAATAAAAACTTCCACTTAATAATCAATACATTAAATATAACAAAATAAAGATGGTTATTAAATATTAGAGGATGGAAATCACCTGATGATTAACCTAAAAATAAAAAAAGGTTTTTTTCTAATATTACAATTTTAAACGAGAAATATAGGTATAGACTTTTATAAAAAATTATTTTGTGATTTTTAAAATATAAATTAAATAAAAAAACATAGAAAATAGTTTTAAAAAAAAATAATAAAAGAAATATTTAAAGTTTTTTTATGTTAAAATTTATTTATTCAATTTAATTAAGCCAGTTAATATATTTATATTTTCTATGTTCTGATAGTTTTTGTTTTAAATGGGATAGTAGTTGATTATATTCATTGTTGGTGTTATCGATGTCATCATTGATAAGATTATTTTGATAGAGTTGTTTTAGGAAGACAATATTATCTCTTTTTATAGCATCATCAATTATTGTTTTTGATGGTTTTAATAGAGTATTATTTGGATAGGTGTTGAGGAGGAATTGATATAGTTTGAATGGTATTTGGTATGGTTCGATGTTAAATGAGAATTTAAATTTGCTTTTATCGTCAAATATTAAATGGTGAAGAGCAAATACTGTATCTGGATGAAAATCCTTTTCATTAATAATAATTTCGTTTTTTATTAAAGATTGGCCAATATTGGTGTTATTTTCGACATTATATATTAATAAATCGCAGATTCCTAAAGTTGAAAGAACGCAATATTCGCTGTATTCATTTAATACTGTGGAGATTAAGGTGTGGTCACCAGTTTGAATAATGTTTGAGATGATAATAAAACGATATCTTTTTATGATATTATCATCTGAATTGTTGTATATGAGTTCCAATTCCTCTAAATATTTTAAAAATAAATCATATCTTTGAAAGAAGAACAAGGTTTTTATAGTTTGAATATAAGTGTCAGTGATTGTTTTGAAAGGAGGTGATTCTTTGAAGGTTGTGAGTATCTTGTTTAAAATATTTTGATGAAGTTTTTCGATAATATCAATACATGATGCACCATTGTCACAACAAAGACAACTATTATTACCAAATATATATTCGAATGAAAATACTTCTGGATCTATATAATCATTTAAATTAAAAATTATATTTCCCTCTGTATTACGAGCTTTACCGTAAAAAATAGTACCATCCCAGTTATAACTCAAACAGTCTCTAACATTGCGAAAGATTGGTAAACCAAGTAAATATTTGATGAGTGTTAATGATTTATTTGCAAGATAGTAAATTGAAAATAATGTTGATTGTTGAACTGTAGTTACACCAGATTTGTTTATGAATTGATAAGTTGATTTGATCTTTTCAAGTGGTACTTCACCTTTACTTTGAATTAATATTTTGAATAATATGTTGATAACAATTTTAAGAGCTTCACCTTGATAAATATGGACTTTGGGTGTTGAAGTAAAAATATAATTTTCATAATCGATATTTGATATTGATTGCAGTTGGGTTTGATTTTGCATTTTGTTTTGTAGTTGTTTAGATTTATTAATTATTAAATGAATGATTGATATTACATCATCAATATTAATATTATCATATATTTGTGTTTGAAAATCAACTTTACCATCAAGGTTACTATATAAAGACAAAGGAATAGGAGGATTTCTATTCGATTTGAGGTTTTCAACATTTATAAAGCTACTGATATAATTTGGTAATTTGTTTTCAACATCTGCATTGTAATGATATTTGTTGATTAATAGTTTGATGATGTGTACTGATAATAGTTTGATTGATATTGCGAATACGGTGGTTAAGACTTCACAACTATTAAATAGACAGGTTAAACGGTTATCTTTTTCAGTGTGTTCATAATCACCTTCTGGCATTAGATCTAAACAATAATAAACACCTTGAGGACAATTGATTTTGATAAAATATTCCATGGTTTCAGTGAGTTGTGTAATATCTTGATATGATAGTGGTCGATTTGGTTTCTTGTATGAATAGAATAGTAGTGATAAACTATTGTCTTCTGTAAGTCCAAAGATTGATTTTAATTCTTTTAAATTAAATGTTTCCATGGCATTTTTGAGAGGTAGTTCCAAAAGAGTATCGTCTATGAGGTTAGCTTCTATGATATTCTTTAGTTGTATTTGGAAAACATTTGTATTAGCTAATGTAAAGATTTTTTTATTTGAATATTTTAATATTTCTACGTTTTTGAATTTGAAGGTGTTTTCATTTATTTTAGGTAGAGGATATCCACTAATGAATTTATAGTCCTGAATTGTTTGTTTATACACCTCCAACATTTGAGAAATTAAATCGACTGTATGTTGATCTTTGACTACAAGTAATGTTGTTGTTGTTCCCGGTGATTTTTTATTTTCCCTATCATAAATAGAGTCTGTAAATATATCATTTGGAAATGTTGTTTTTGTTCTTCTAACTATTTCTTTCCATATTAAATAAATTTCATATTTACGCGGTTGTATTGATTCAATTAGTTGGCAGAACTTTTTATCAATTTTGTAGGAATAAATATAAAACTTATCCCCTATTATTTTTTCCCAAATGTCGGATTTGATAAATTTTAGATGTTTTTCATTTTCGAAATAAAATTTGATTATTTCTATTTCTATTTTATATGTTGATGGCGAACGATTATGATCATTGATTTTTTTCCAATTATTTGTATTATTTTGTAAAATTAGTTTTAAATCCTCTAATTGGTATGATATGTTTCTATCGAAAAAAAAATTGAATGGAGATTGTTTTAAAAAGTAATATTCTCCTTCATTATAAGATGGAAATAGAATTTCTAAATATTTTCTAATATACTCTGATAGTTTTATTATTCTATTGATATCTTTATTATTATTAATTATATTATCTATTTCGTTTTTGTCATTTTGGTTAACATAATCATGTAAACAATATAGTTTCATATCTAATAATTGATTTTGATTCTCTATTGATATTGTGTTGAATACTATATCTATAATATCGATTTTATTATTATTATGTATATTATAATATTCTTTATTGCTTAAAACTAGTTGTAATACTCTATCACGTTGGAATACATCTTTACAGAATTCATATATATCTTTAATTATTTCATTTTTATATTCATTTGGGGATGTAAAAGTTGTTTGTATCATATTTTTATCATTATCATGATTAATGCTTTTGTTATTTGTTGTTGAATTTAAAATGTTATTATTAATTTCGAGTGTTTTGTTTTGATTATTATAATTGTTGTAGTTGTTGCTATTGTTATTTTTATTTATATTATAAAATGAATCTAATAGTAATTTAATTTTTGAATTTGTTGAATATTGAAAGAAACTACATAACATTGATGGAAGTACTAGAAGAGGGATTGTTTCATTAAGTGTATTTTGAATAAAATCTTCATCAAACACATCTAGGTATCTGGGGATATAGTCCATCAAGTGGCATATATTTCCAACGGATGTTGATTGTAATAGTAATTTGAATATTTCTTGTGCTAAATCTTTGTCATTACTGATCATTAATGACATAGATTTTGTTAATTCCCATGGATCATCTACCTGGATATATTCACCAGCTTCTAACTTGCATTTTAATAAATGATATAGTTTTTTGTTTAATAGGAATTTTAATGATGTTATATTTCTAAAAATGATTCTATTATCATGATTGTTTATACTCTTATATTTAATTAAATCAACTGAATGTATGAAATGAAATATTTTATTAAATAAATATTTATTATGAAAAACTTGATAAAATAATTCTGAGGTTTTTTGATCATGGTTGCCATTATTGTTATTATTATTACTACTATTCATATTTTGTGGTATTAAAAAAAAATAAAAAAATAAAAATTTTATAAAAAATAATAATAATTTTTTTATAATTTTAATTTTTTAATTTAACCCCAAACTCCAAGAAAAAATTTTTTTTAAAAAAAAAGCAATATTTATTATGATAATAAATAAAAAATGTGATTTTTAATTAAAATAAATAAATACCCATTACTGCACATATAACAAGGACCTCTTTCTTTTTTATTTTCATCAATTGTAAAATTAACTATCAAAGTTAACTTTATTATTCATATTTGTGCATGACAATAAAATTTTAAAATAAATTTTTTTTTTTTTTTTTGGTTCCTGAGTAGAACCTAAACATTTTAAGGGTTAAATTTTTGATTTGATTATTTTTAGATATTCCCAAATCCAATTTTTTGAAATTTTAATAAAACGTCTTCAAAATGAAATTAAAATATGAATAATTTTTATTTTACATAATATATTACTACTAAAATTAAAATTATTTATTAAATGATATTGTTCATTGGTGTGATGTTATGTGGTGTGTTTTAAAAAAAAATAAAAAAAATAAAAATCAAAATGGAAAATAAATATTTTTTTTTAAATAAATAAATTGTTTCTGTTTATTGTTTATTCTTGTTTATGAAATCATTGCTACTATTATATTATTATTATTATTACTATTATTCTATGTATAAATTTTTTTTTTTTTTTTTGTTTTTATTTTTTGTATTATTTATAAAATTCTTACATGATTTAATGGAATTAAACCTTTTTTACCATTTAACTCGGCATTACACCAATCACCATTTTCTTTAAATAATGTGATAATGTCGCCTCTTCTAAAGGATAATTCGGTTGAATCTTGACCTTCAAAATCGTAGAGTGCCTCTGCACGTCTTGATGGTGCCACTGGAGTTGGTAATGGACGACCACCTGGAACCATAGTTGATGCTCTTGGTTTATTATTATTAAATGGTGATGTGGTTGTATTTGCTGGTGCTCCTGCTGTTGGTAGTGGACGACCACTGTTTGGTGATGGAGTTTTAACTAAATTTGGTGAAGTGGTTTTTTGAAGTGATGGATAGGTTTGTGGTTGTTGATAGGTATTGTGTTGTTCAGGTGGTGAATAGTATGGTACTTCGTTGTGTTGTTGTGGTGGTGATTGATGGGTATTTGGATAAAGAGATGGTTGTGGTGGTTGGTGTGAAACCGGTGGTGAAGTGTGTGGTTTTGATAAATTTACACCACTACTGCCGCCACCTTGGTTATAAGTATTTCCACCATATGATGGTGGTGATTCATATGAACTTGTTGGTGGTTGATAAGGTTGTGGTTGTGATGGTGTTGGTGTAGCAATGGTTGATGCTCTTGATCTTTGTGGAGTTGAACCGCCACTACCGCCACTAAACTCTTTTGGACTAGTGAATACAGATGAAGCTCTAACATTTGTACTCATTGCACTAACCTCAACGGGTGTAATAACATTTGGATGGGTAACAGCATCATATTCATTGATGTGTTCGACTGATGGTAAAGCCTTTTGATATTCAGCAGCTGATCTTGCAAAATATTCATTATTTTTATTTATAAAACATGCAAATGCTGGATCGAATGCAGCTTTTCTGTCATCAAATAATGCATACATATCTTTCATAATTTCATCACTTAATTCTTGATATGCTTCTTTTGTTCTTTGATGTTTATTTTCAGTCTAAAATGATAATGTAAAAGATTATATAATTAATGAGATGTTATTATTTAAAAAATATTGATAAAAATAATTTATGTGTTAATATTTTACCTTTTGTAAACTTGAAGCATCTTTACCCTTGTTTGCTTTAATATTATAATCTCTATAATATCTATCCATATCTAATCTTCTGACATCTAACTCCTCTAAACGAGATCTAATATCCCTAAATTGTGATAAATAAACTCTGAGTGGATCGTGGTAATAGTTTTCTAAAATCTCTTCAATTCTTATTCTTTCCTGTTCGAGTGCCATTTGTGTTTCTTGATAGGTTTTAATTGCTGGGTCTTGATCATTTAATGCTAATAAATCATGTGCAATTTCATTTTGTACAATATTAATTTCTATTATAAAAATAAAATAAATGTTTATGTTAATAATTTTAATCCTTTTTTTTTCTTTTTATTATATATTTAATATAAAAACAAACCTTTTAATGTTGCTTCATATTTATCAACATTTTTATTTAATCTTTTCATAAGTTTAAAAAGAGTAAATAATTTATCTTTTTCTGCTATAATTTTACTATCGACAGTTGTTTCTGCGGCACCAAATGATGCTAAAACCTTATGCTTGGTTCTAGCAAAACCGGTTTTGATTGAACTCCATGATGTTTTTTCTTTATTTGACATTTTTAAAAAATATAATTAAATATTTTTTTTATATTTGTGTGTGTTATTATGAATAAAATTATAAAATGTGATGGATTCGTTTAATTTATTATTATATATATTTCAATTTGTGTGGATGTGTGTTTGTGTTAATAAAATAAAATAAAATAAAAAATTTATTATTTTTACAATATTATAATATTTTTAAAGATTATTATTATATAAACTATCTATTGAAAATTTGAAAAAAATTTTGGTCTTTGTGAATAAATGAAATTAAAAAAAAATTAAAAAAAAATTAAAAAAAAAATTAAAAAAATAAAATAATAAATTAAAAAAAAAAAAATTAAAAAAAAAAAAATAAAAAAAAAAAAAATAATAAATTAAATATTTTTTTTTTTAAAAGAAAAGCACACATCGTTTGTCGATAGTGGGTTGTCTGAAAAACAGAATTGCAACCTTATAAGTTTTAAAGCAAATAAAATTTTATTTATTTATTTTTATTTTAAAACGAATAATTTATTTTTGAATTTTTCATTTAAATATTTAAATTTAAAACAAAAAAAAAAAAAATGAAATGAAATAAAAAAAATAGAAATTTTTTTTTTTTTGTTTAAAAGAAAAGTTTTATTTTTATTTTTAAAACCAAAGAAAAAATAAAATTGAAAATGAAGATAAAATGATATTATTATTTTATTTTAATAAACCCATTCCCGACAAAAAATCTTTAAGATTATCCTCTTTCTTATTTGCTAAATTTTTACTTCCTGCTTGTGCCACTTTTATTTTACTGTTTTTATTATTATTATTATTATTATTATTTTTATTATTATTTTTATTATTACTATTTATATTTTTATTATTTATATTATTATTATTATTATTATTATTATTGTTTATATTTATATTATTTATATTATTTATATTTATATTTTTATTATTATCATTTTGTTTAGATTCTTCTTTATTTATATTTTTATTATTGGTGTCATTTTTAAATTCTTTTAAAATTAATTTTCTTTGTTTCCTTTTTGATATGGTTTCACCTTTTAATGGATTTAGTTTATTACATTTTAAACATACTCTAGTTATTGAATTGTTTAATTTGTTTGAATTTTTTGATAAGGATTGTTGTTGTTGTTGTTGTTGTGGTGATGGTTTTAATCTAAATTCTAACGAGTTAATTTCTTTTGTATTGGTTGAAATTAAACTTCTACTTTTATTTGATAGTTGATCAGTTTTAGTAATTCTAACTCTACAATTTATACCTGGTATTAAAAATGTTCCACAATTACTACAGTTTCTCGATTCGATCATTGTTGGTACACCTCTTAGTTGTTTAATATTTGCCATTTCTCTAAA